CTAGACTATTATAAATTAGTAGAGGCCCAGGTCACAAAATTCACGAATAGGTGTGTCCCTCAACCCGAACTGTGCCCTCTCACAATCTGGGACCCCTCAGGTAGGGTCCTGAGGCCTGCCCAGCAATCAGGGCCTATCAGGGCTTTCCTTCCCCTGGCTCCCGGCAGCTTGCCCTGCCCCCGCCGTTGGCACTGCTTGCCATCTGTGTGGCGCTACCCTCCCTCCCCCACCAGCCGGTCACCTACCTCTGGGGGTGACAGGTGTGGGGTACGATCATTTGGCTGGCCTGGGCCTCCTTCTGTGGGGCGATCACTGGCCAGCCCTGCACACCTGCCACAGCATCACTGGCTGGTGGTCTGGGCCTCCCTCTGTGGGGTGATTGATTGCGGGGCCCCCCAGATAGATTGCCCTGTAGAGGGAGGCCCCGCCCACCCACCGCAGCATCACCAGCCAGGTGGCCTGGGCTTCCATCTTTGGGGTGATTGATCACAGAGGCCCCCATCAATCGCCCCGCAGAGGGAGGCCTGCGGGGTGATCGTGGGGCGATGGCAGGCCCCCCACAACCAATTGCATCGCACCTGCCTTGTCTGGCCTGGCACCAGTGTGTGTCATAGCATGGCCGGTCGTCCAGATGGTTGTTCTGCTGTTTGGTCATTCGGTCGATTTGCAAATTATCCTTTTATTATTATAGACTAGAGGCTCAGTGCACAAAATTTGTGCATGGGGGTGGGGTATCTCTCAGCCCGGCCTGTATCCTCTTGCAATCCGGTACCCCTCGGGGGATGTCCGACTGCCAGTTTAGGCCTGATCCTGCATGTAGCCGTCCCTATACCTGCATTCGGACATCCCTCTCGCAATCCAGGACTGCTAGTTTCTAACTGCTCGCCTGCCTGCCTGCCTGCCTGCCTAATTGATTGCCTCTAACCACTCTGCCTGCCTGCCTGATCACCCCTAACCCCTCTGCCTGCCTGCCTAATCACCCCTAACTGCTCGCCTGCTTTCCTGATTGCCCCTAACAACTCTGCCTACCTGCCTGATCACCCCTAACTACTTTCCTGCCTTATCACCCCTAATTACTCTGCCTGCCTGCCTTCCTGATCACCCCTAACTGCCTCTGCCTGCCTGCCTCATTGCCCCTAACCTCTTGCCTGCCTTCCTGATCACCCCTAACCACTCTGCCTGCCTTCCTAATCCCCCCTAACCACTCTGCCTGCCTGCCTCATTGCCCCTAA